GTGAAACCCCGTCTCTACTAAAACTACAAAAAATTAGCTGGGCATGGTGGTACGTGCCTGTAATCCCAGCTACTCAGGAGGCTGAGGCAGGAGAATTGCCTGAACCCAGGAGGCGGAGGTTGCGGTGAGCCGAGATCGCGCCATTGCACTCCAGCCTGGGTAACAAGAGTGAAACTCTGTCTCAAAAAAAAATAAAAATAAAAAAAATAAAAAAATAAAAATGTTCTGTGCCTCCAGTGAAAACGGGGAGAATGCAGGCTGGAGAAGCTGTGGTTTTGGCCAGTTACTTTACAGTATCTAGTTGGCTCAAGGGCCTGAGAGTCACTCCCTCTCCTCTCCCTCATCTCCTCCTACCGTGTCTAATACTCAGGGTCCCCAGCTTGGGGCTGGTAGAGGCTGGACCCTGGGTCTGGCTGGAGGTGGCTTGCTGGGCCTCCCCTCCACAGGGGGAATGTGCACAAGTCTGCTCCATTATTGACATCAGATTAGGGTCCCCTGGGTCCCTACTCTAAGCTTCCTGTAGGATCCAGGCAGGAGCATCTGTAATTACATCTCCCTCCTGCCTCCCACCTCTGAGCCCACTTGGCTCCGGTCTGGTTGCATCATGTCTGTGGGAGCCCCTCGGGAGATGGGGGACAGGGAGTGAGCCAGGGATGAGCTAGGGTGTGGAGGAGGAAGGAGGAGAGAAGCTGAGCGGGAAGGAGCTGGAAGGATTCTGGAATTCACAGATTCTACATCTTTACAGCTCAGAACCTGAAGTACAGGAATCTAGGATCCCAGGACCTCTGAACGGCTGGAAGTCCAGTGTCTTTCAAGCCGTGGGCCAAGATCCTAGGGTCCTGTGCCCTGGGACTCCAGAGCTTGGCATCTCAGAAGTGTAAGGAGTTCTTGAGCCTAGGTTGTTTGGAGCTAGATCCTTCCAGTCCTGGAACCTCGGAGCTGTCTAATGCAAACCCTTTCTCCTTCACATCTCTAGTCTCGGGGGACAGCAACTATGGAGATGTAAGCAGCTGAATGGGCCCTGGGTTGGGGGACGGGAGGGCTGGCAGGATTGGGGCACTGAGCGGATCAGCAGGAGGTATCTTTCTGGAGGAGGAGGGAGGATGGGGAACAACACTGGGGGAAAGGAGAAGCCAGAAGTCACAATCCAGGAAGGACAGGGCGGGTCCCCGTGTGCCCAGCCTCCATGAGAACAGATCTGAATAATCTTATTAGCCTTACCGCCTGATAGCAGCACCAGCTTCTGGTCACCAGCTGCTGTTTCCTGCTACCCCTGGGGTGAAGTCAGCTCTGGGGCCAGGCCCAGGCTGGGGTCAGAGACAGGCCAAGAGGTAGACAGGCCGCAGGGCGAGGTGCTTGTTCCTCCAGAACCCAAGGGCTCTCAGCTGCCCTGTTCCGGGCTGTCTTCTGTCTGCACCCACATCGCACACTGTACCCCAACCCAGGTCCTCAGAGTGGGGCTTGGCCTGGCTGAAGGGGTAGGGCAGGGGAGGGGAAACCTAGAGCCAGCATGAGCTGCAATCTTGGCCATCACTTCCTAGGGGAACGATTCAAATGAGTCCCATCTCACTCAATGCCCACAGCAGCCCTCAAGGTGACTCTGTTTATCCCCCCCCTTTTTTTGAGATGGAGTCTCTATCTGCTGCCCAGGCTGGAGTGCAGTGGTGCCCTCTTGGCTCACTATAACTTCTGCCCCCCAGGGTTCAAGTGATTCTCCTGTTCAGCCTCCTGAGCAGCTGGGATTACAGGTGCCTGCTACCATGCCTGACTTTTTTTTTTTTTTTTTTTTTTTTTTTTTTTTTGGAGTTTTTTTTTTTTTTTTTTTTTTTTTTTTTTTTTAAAGACGGGGTTTCACTGTGTTGGTCAGGCTGGTCTTGAACTCCCGACCTCAGGTAATCTGCCCACCTTGGCCTCCAAAGTGCCTGGATTACAGGCGTGAGCTACCACGCCTGGCCTAATTTTTTTATTTGTAGCAGAGACGGGGTTTCACCATGTTGGCCAGGCTGGTCTTGCTCTCCAGACCTCAGGTGATCCACCGCCTCAGCCTCCCAAAGTGCTGGGATTACAGGCATGAGTCACCGTGCCTGGCCTCTTTATCCCCATTTTACAGACAAGAAAAACAGGCATGGGGCCGGGTGCGGTTGGCTCACACCTGTAATCCCAGCACTTTGAGAGGCCAAGGCTGGCAGACCATTTGAGGTCAGGAATTTAAGACCAGCCTGGCCAACATGGTAAAACCTCATCTCTACTAAAAATACAAAAATCAGCTGGGTGTGGTGGGGTGACCTGTAATCCCAGCTACTAGGGAGGCTGAGGCAGGGGGACAGCTTGAACCCAGAAGTCAGAGTTTGCAGTGAGCCGAGACTGCACCACTGCGCTCCAGCCTGGGGACACAGCAAGACTCCATCTCAAAAAAAAGAGAGAGAGAGAGAAAAACAGGCATAAAGAGGTAACCAGCTGGGGTTTGAGACTGGAATGGGAGAATCTGATGGACAAGCACTTAGAAG